CACCCACACCCACACCCACACCCACACCCACACCCACACCCACACCCTTTGAAGTAAGATCTGTTGAGATCATTGAGGGTGTGTGTCTAAATTAAGACACAACACTCACACCCACACCCGCCCACCCTCACTCTCATTTTCCATTAAATTATCGCTCCCATTGATTACAGGACATTTTGTAGGTAGACGGTTATTCGAATTACGTTTTCTGTATGATGACATCAGCTGATATATTGAAGAATATCTATCCACTATCATAATACTTCAATCTTGCAGGAATTCTGCTAAAGTTTTTCAACATCGAGCAATACTATAAACTAATTTTTGAAAGACAAGTAACGCTCAATTACCTATTATTTTACTTTAGAATGGTGACAGTTGGATAAATATAAACGTTGAATTAAGAACGTTCACTAGTGATGGCGATGAAAAATTAGCAAATAAGCTACATGTTTTGTTATTTGTATAGCAATTCAATCCGACATATAATGAAGGCACAGTAGAAAAGAATGCATCACAAATATATTTGGAACATGTATTTTCATATGTTATAGCTATGCCCGTAACGTTGGAGACATACATTGCATTGTAAATACGCGTCGTACAATGAATATTAATAACTCTCGTTGTTAGAAACAAGAAGAAAACTGACTATATCATTGTTGTTAACTGAATATTGTCAAACGAATGGGTAATATTCCTTTAAAAAATAGTATATTAATGAACATCACTACCCATTATCCTTGAACATCTACAATACGAAGAATGTTAAATAAGTTTTCTTTTTCTTTCAATCGATCGTCTTCCACTTCTGTTTTCAAAATAACGGAAATTGTCATTTATAACAGATGCATTAGATATGAAGATCTTTTTATTCTTAAGTGCTATCTTCTTATAGACTGGCGGTACTCAGATGCAACTAAAGTATTTAAATTGTTTTGGAATTATCAAAGACGAAAAAAACGCACTGCGTTCGATGATTTGTACAATATGATATTTTTATCACACTCTGTAGTTTTAACAGTAAGAGTGTGGGTGTTGGTATGAGTGAAATACACCTATCCACATCCCAAATGCAATTAAATTCTAAAAGAAATAATTTATTTATTATTATGATCGTTATTGCCGATTTCTTTTGTCATAGTATCTTATTGTAAATCTTCAATTTCAGAATATCTTTTATATTAGCACAGTCATCCACACCGTCAAGAAGAATATTTTATTGCTTTTTCAGTTGTTTAATATGAGAGAAGACAAGATAAAATCCAATACCAATTAACATATGATGTGTCAAATATTGCATTCATAACAAAAGTAATGATTAGAAGATTTCTCATAATCTAATAAAATTCTCAATTATCATCAGCTCTATGTTTTGATAATATAATTGTTTGTCAGATGAAAAATAATATAGAATTGCTTTCAGCTTTTTTCGAATGCATAACATTCTTAACGGTGTGGGTGTGGGCTAAGATAAATATAATACCCCCCACGCCAGTCCCGACTGCTCGTTAATGTGCATTATAAAGCCACTTTACACAAACACTTCAGTTTGAAATGTCCTCCAGATATACTGAGGAAAGATCTATGAGCAGTGCATTTTAAACATCTCATATTGCATAAACTTCGTCTAGTGCTCGGTGAAAGATCTTATATTCTATACGGTTTACCTCAAGACTAGCCTCAAATGATCGAACTATCATATCGTATCATAACCACGTCGGCGACACAAATTGTTTTCGACTGGTGCATTTAACGTAACTACGAAAAACAATGCATAAGCATAGACATATATAAAATAGTTTTATTCGATTAGCTTCACAGTGAAGTCGACGAAAGGCAGAACTATTTTTCTCCATGAAGAAGACTCCTCATACTTACAATTCAACCTCGAAAAATTTCAGAAAACTAATGATACATTCAGATTCCTCATCTCCAAAACTTTTCGAATTACAATGACGAAGAAAAAGTTGATCTGTGTACAGTTTTATCTTCATATTTTAACGATGCTTCTCTATAGATATTCTGCACTAATCAGTTTGACTTTTTTCGAGTGGCTCGAATAAATCAGTTTGAGACTAACAACGAGATAATTACTAATCCCAAAGAAATATTAAATAGAAATTGTCTTACTTTTTTATTTTTTTTCGTTAAAACACATATTCTTATAAAAAATATTGTTTACCACATCCTCATTCTCATTAGTTCGTACATTTGATATGATTGTAGATTGTCTCTTAGATTATTTGTTGTTGTTATTAACAAATATATTCATCTATGTCATTGATGAACTTACCTCAAAGTCTTTTCGTAAGTGAAATATACCAATCATCAAACATTCTAAATTCGATGAATATTATCAAAACAATTAAATATTATGAAAAACGACACTGTAAAACTAAGAGAACATTTGAAAGGATAATTAAAGTTATCGTATCAGTTGGAACTTTTATTAATTATAATAAACTAATCGACAAGAGTAAGAAAAACAAAGATATTTATTTTTATTTGGATTCGAATATTAAACTGTGTTATAATTCACTAAGAGTATGAAAGGAAACAGTTCGGGGACGTCATAAGCTGACAGTATTTCTAGCTAAAATATTGTTTGAAATTTGAATTACTTGTAAGAAAGAGAGTAAGACAACTGAAAGTTAATTTGTTCCAAATAATTCATATAATTCTGCACTATTTAAAGCAATATTATTATAATCATATCCACCAGTAACTAATATTTTTCCATTTGATAATACAGATGCTGTGTGCCCATATCGTATACTATTCATGTTACCAGTAGTCGTCCAAGTACTGGTTGATGGATCATACAGCTCGGCACTATTTAAAGCATCACCACTCCTACTCCCACCAGTAACTAATACTTTTCCATTTGACAATACAGATGCTGCGTGCCATCGTCGTACATTATTCATGTTGCTAGTAGTCGTCCAAGTACTTGTTGGTGGATCATACAGCTCAGCACTATTTAAAATAATATTCCTGGAGCCCATTCCACCAGTAACTAATACTTTTCCATTTGATAAGACAGATGCTGTGTGCCATCGTCGTGCATTACTCATGTTACCAGTAGTCGTCCAAGTACTTGTTGATAGGTCATACAATTCAGCACTATTTAAAGAACCATTACCATTGTTTCCACCAGTAACTAATATTTTTCCATTTGATAATACAGATGCTGTGTGAACAGATCGTACATTATTCATGTTACTAGTAGTCGTCCAAGTACCTGTTGATGGATCATACAGCTCAGCACTACTTAAATAACCATTACCATGTCCACCAGTAACTAATACTTTTCCATTTGATAAGACAGAGGCTGTGTGTGCATATCGAGCATTATTCATATTACCAGTAGTTGTCCAAGTACCTGTTGATGGATCGTACAGCTCAGCAATATTTAAAATAATATTATTAATGCCTTGTCCACCAATAACTAATATTTTTCCATTTGATAATACAGATGCTGTGTGCAAATATCGTGCATTATTCATTTTACTAGTAGCTATCCAAGTACTTGTTGATAGGTCATACAATTCAGCACTATTTAAAGCAATATTATCAATGCCTTCTCCACCAATAACTAATATTTTTCCATTTGATAATATAGATGCTGTGTGAGCAGCTCGTCCATAAGTCATATTACCGGTAAAAGACCATTCTAGACAGAAACATTTGATTGTATTCATTCTCGAAAGACTGTCTCGTGTGGAACTCTTAAAATGATGAAATCTTCTACGGAAAGTTTCATATGTTGTAAAATAAAAAAGGTTTTTTTACCTTTGGTACAAAGTTTTTCGAACTTTTTGGGGTAATATAAGAAGTCTAAAATTTGTTATAAAAAATCGTTGTTAATACGGTACGAAAGTAAGTTTCGCATTCTTAATAAAGAATCGTATGGGAGGATAACGTATGAAACAGGTTTGTATTTTATACTTATCGTTACAATATTTATAAGAATTAATGCACTTTTCATTATAAACAACTTCTATTGATGATAGCCACTTAGTGAAGCGTCCTAGGTAAAGGAAAAGCGGCTAGGTTCGCGAAAAGGGGGTGATCGAAAATCACCATTTTTAACACACGCTAGAAATGTCATAATACGAAAGTCCTTGTCACCTAGATCACGAATCTGACATCCGTTTGTCTGGATCTGATCCTTTTTTTTTTACCAATTTCCATAGGGGAGTATCTGAGTCTAATATAGGGTAGTTGTATGGGATGTCAAACAAATTATTCAGAAAATTTTCTGGGAAAATTTTCTTTTCCCTCAAACTTTGTAGAGCTTCTTCTGCTGATCATTTTCGTATAAGGAAGTTTTGAATTCTGTTGAGAAATAACGACACTATCGTCAAAATAAAAAACATGGTAAAATAGCTTAAAATCCCATTTTTTACCTTACAAAATATAGGAAAAAGTCGAGTTTCTAATCTCGGACCGACTATATTTTCAAGAAATATGATATAGTAGGTTTTAAAGAGCACAGTTTTCTCTACAAGATCTCCTATGTCATATTTCTTGAGAATATAGCCGGTTCGAGATTAAAGACTCGACTTTTTTCTATATTTAATAAGAAAAAATGGGATTTAAACTATTTTACCGTATTTCACTATGTTTTTTATTTTGATGATAGCGTCGTCATTTCTCAATAGAATTCAAAACTTCCTTATACGAAAATGATCAGCGAAAAAACCTCTACAAAGTTTGGGGGAAGAGAAAATTTTCTGAATACTTTACGTATTTGTGTTTAGAACCCCATGGAACTACCCTATAAGACCTAGGTACCCCCCTACGGCAAACACGGCAAGAAAGCGATCAGATCTAGACAAACGGATGTCAGATTCGTGATCTAGGTGACAAGGACTTTCGTATTATGACATTTCTAGCGTGTGTTAAAAATGGTGATTTTTCGATCACCCCCTTTCGACGAATTTCCATAGCAAGATCAAAAGGGGACCTCCTTTCTTTTTTCGGTTCGTTTCTTACGAATTTTTGCAGTTGGAAACGGTGTCCAGATACGGCTGCGTTTACAGCACCATTCCAGACTAAGAAATGCGATGATTTATCATGATCAAAGAATATAGACAGCATCCTATCGTGTCTGAAATCTGGATTTTGACTTATTCAGAGAGCAGAAGAATGAATCAAACGTGACGAACTAACTAATAAATAATATGCAAATACACCTATTTATATTTACACACGAAAGAGAGAGAAGGAGAATTGACAGGCATTTCAGCGCGCGACAGATATGCGTACGCTCCTTTGGGAGAAAATAATTTTTTTCTGTTTTCTTTATCTTAAAATTAGGGTATGTAGTGATATGAAACGAAGAAAAATGGTAGATTTCATTGCATCGATGTCAGCAAAACTACGTGAGCTTCGATCACGGTGAAAAATAGCGAATGCGGGGATTATTGTTTCTTTGTTTCTTCTTAAGATAACGATTGAATCACTCATGACAAGATCACTATTGTTTTAATGTAACTTTTAGTTAGATATAGAAAAGTGTTGGATGCAAAGCAACTATTGATATCAGTTTTAAAAGTCCCACTAAAGGGGATCCACCCTCTTTCCGGAGTTTCTGGAGAACGGCTCGGCAAATTTTTTTAAACTTTGAGGATATAGAGATCTTGATACGTAGAACAAAAGTTGGCATAGACTCAAAATTGCCAGATGCTTCCTTCAAGGAGTTTTTGGAGATACAATGACCAAAACCCACCTGAAGTTTCCCCCTTTTATTCCTGAACGGCTTGACCTATCTGGCTCAAATCGTTTTTGGGTAACTGGGTCAGAATCGGGGTGCGTGTTTTTTTTTTCAAAACAATACCAAATACATACGTCAGGAGAAGCAAAATACTGAAGATCTTACTAGAAAACGTTTTTTCCGTGTTACGAGTTTTTCAAAGGCCATCAAATCTTTTCGGGACAGTATTTCGAAGAGAGAAAAAAACACGCACCCCAATTTAGATCTAGTTGCTACAACAAAGATTTGAGCCCAATCAGCCGAACCGTTTGGAGAAAAATTTTGCCTTTTTCGTTTTCTCTCTTTTTACTTTTGTTCAGATCGAATCACGATGGATTTTGTCGTAGCGCACGTTGAATGTGCATGGAAAGAGGTATTTTAGAGAACTAATTTGTCTCATAGACAAGAGTTCAACGAACACAAATTGTATATCGACTCTTCAATGATTGTTCTGAGAACACGGAGACAGCAAAAATGATTATTTTCTATAAAGCTTTATCAACGGTTACCAAAGGTCAGCAATTCAAATCTAGGATCGATTTTAGTTAATTAATTATTAATATTTTGAGTAAAACTTGACCAAACGCAATCAGAGGTGAAGAATTCAAATCTAGAGACGGTTTTAATTGTTCATATTTTGTAATAAGATTTGACCAAAACTAATCGGGTGTGTGGAATTGGGATCCAAAGTCAATTTAATTAATTAATTATATAGAAAAAGTCGGTACGGGTGGATGAGAGATGAATAGCACACCCTCACCCTGTTTTTGTCAGAATTCTCATTTAGGAAACAACAAGAAATATAAAAACACATTTGAAGTAGAAAGAACAAATTTTTATCAGTCCAACATGATTCATTGTGAAAGTCGTCACAGAACAGACGAAATGTTAGCTGTGATTATCATCAATACTCTAACAAGGACCAATAATGTTTATTTCAACAAAAGAAATACGAAAAATGTGCCTTTAAAAATTTTCACTTTTTCCGGTATATTGGCTTGCCCACGTAACGCGACACTTCGCTGATTAAGTTCTGAAAATTTTTTTTTTCGAGTTAAATCGATTTGAATACACTGCTATGTGCAGTTTTTAACGCTGATTATGAATTTCACATTTATTTTGTGAAATAATCGGATTTTTCTGTCAAAGATCGGGTTTTAAACTTTTTAAAAATCATATTTTGAATTTTTTAATAAGGAAATTTTGTCATATAATGTTACAAGACATACCATTCGATGCGCAATTTCATTCTCTACAAAACGGGTTATTTGATTTTGATTGTTGTAAACAAAGGTAACTCCTGGACACTTGTAGAGTTCCCAACTTGCTGGTCAGGATACAAGCTTTTGACATGAGTGTATCAATTTTGTTCTCGAATAGAAGACTTAAATATACCGAGAGGACCAAGTGTTTAAAATATCAAATCATTCTGATCGTGTGAAGTACTTCAAAAAATGACTGGAAAAAAACTGTGTAACAGCGTTACGAATAGGGATGTACCGAGCCCGAGCTCTGGCCGAGCCGTTCGGGCTCGAGCTCGGTCTCGGAAACCTCAGTTTCAAACATAAATACATCCAGCATTAAATATTACCTATCTTGGTATGAATAATTTTAACTTTTGTTTTAAAAACATATTAATAGGAAAAACTCTGAAAACTGATTGTTTCCAGAGAGCTTGGTATAGCTAGAATGTGTAGATCCTTAGCTTTTTCCAAAGATCGAAAAATAGTTTGTTTTTATGACGATAAAATCTCAGTAAAGGACGTAAGATCCATTATCCAAACATCCGTATGACCCTATTACTCGACTTCTATGCCTTATCTTTATCTATAAGTCTTGGTTTATCTCAACTTCGATGCATCTGAAATAGTTTATACTAGACGCAAAACTATCGAATAGCTTATATATAAATGACAGAAAGCTATTTTCATTTAAATGTCGCTGCAATAGAAGAAATGCAGCATACTGCAATAAATTTCAATTATTAATCGTGGAAAGTATTTTTAAATAGTTTTTTTTGTACTTTGCATGACGAATATATTTTAAAACGAAGGCTTTTTATTTAATCGATTCAACTATTTAATGTATCTACGAATAAATCATCAAATAAATCTCGATTAGATAAAAGAATTTATTTAACATTTTAATCATGTATCTGCAGAAGTTCGATTCGATTCATATTAGCACAAAAAATGTACGTAATTTCATATTGAAATGACAATTGAATAGTAAGTTTGATCTATGAGTTAAACAAATAGTATTACTATCTTTATAAAATTTATAACAAATACTGCCTTATTATATGTTACATACACAACACAAGAAATAAAAATTAATCTCTGTAAAAACAGATTTGAGGAACACGTCCAGATTTAATATTAAGTTTGTAAACAGATCGAAATGATCATAAAACAAAGTCTAGTTATTAGTTATATTCAAAAATAGCATCAGTGATAATTTTCTATGGTCGATGAAGGATTCTATAGGTAAAGACTAAAAGAAATTCCGCTACTGAATATTACAAAGAATGAGGCCGAGACGGAAACTGGCCGTGATTGAGTCTTGATCAAAACTGAGACCGAGCCCGAGCCCGACTGAGCCCAGAGCTCTGACCGAGCCCCGGCCGAGCCCGAGCCCCGAGCGATGACCGAGCCAGAGCCCTGACCGAGCTCCAAGCCTAACTGAGCCCGAGAGGCTCGGGCTCGGTACATCCCTAATAACAGCGTTACGTTTGTTTTTTGGATTTTTCACACAAATAGAAATAGTTAAAAGAAAACTTTTTTGGTTTTGAAAAGCCCGTTCAAAGCTCTACAAAACTGGCTCTAGGAGCATTTAATTTGTACAAAATATGTCGCAAGAAATTAGAGTTTTGCCGGTAGTGCCGAAGAAAAAGGGTTTTTTTATGTAACAGTGTTATGCGACAATATAACTTTTCTAGATGTCCGATAGAGTCTTGCACGGGTGCACTTTTTTGCACCCGAAACCGAACCGGCAATTTTTTTTACGTCCGGGCCCGGCCCGACCCGGTTAGTAATGCACCCGGACTCGAACCGGACCCGGATTGTAACACCCGGACCCGAACCGAACCGGACCGGTATCACTCATAATTTTGAAAATGTTATAACATTTCCAAATCTTGGGTATTCGTAAAAGACGCGAAGACCCATGAAGATTCCCAAATCGAAAACTGATATCAGTACTGAATAGAGCTCTGTGAGCTGACTCTACGAAGATCCACGGAGACCCAAAATAGTTGAAAATAAAAATAATTTTCTGGTACACATTGATTTTTTAAATCTACGAAGACCTACGAAGCCCCGCGATGAGCCATATTTTTCGCTGGTTAGGTAGAGCTACTCGAGTTATATACACCCTGAAAATTTTAGCTTTCTGTGTTCTTCCTGAAAGAAAATAGCAAGGACCATACCTTCTCAGTTACCAAAAGTTACACTAACACGAATAACCCTTCATAATAGAGAAAATGTGGTCCTTGGTATTTTCTTTCAGGAAGCATATAGAAAGCTAAAACTTTCAGGGTGTATATAGCTTGAGTAGCTCTACCTAACCAGCGAAAAATATGGCTCATCGTGGGTCTTCGTAGGTCTTCGTAGATTTAAAAAATCAATGTGTACCAGAAAATTATTTTTATTTTCAACTATTTTGGGTCTCCGTGAATCTTCGTAGAGTCAGCTCACAGAGCTCTATTCAGTAGTGATATCAGTTTTCGATTTGGGAATCTTCGTGGGTCTTCGCGTCTTTTACAGATATCCCAAAAAGATCTATACAAATAAGTTCAATTCTCTTCTTTATGAAATATTTTGATGAACAATAAGCTGATAAATCATTATTGAATTTATTTTGACTCCTTCTTTTCTATATAGTGATATCACTAGATTATAAAGTTCCAAATTCGATGATATCACTAGTTACCGGTCCCGGTCCGGGTAAGCAATTGTGCCCGGGACCCGAACCGAATTTCCTTTTCATATCCGGCACCCGAACCGACCCGACAGATTTTCACCCGAACCCAGGTCCGGGTCCGGGCGGGTGCCGGGTACCCGGCCGGTTTGCAGGACTCTAATGTCCGAAGCTTCAGCAAAAAAATATCATTTTTCTAGGAGTTCGATAAGCTGCATCGAATGGCGTTTGAATGAACTTTCTAGCGAATAAACTTTTCGAGATAATTGAAGAAGAGTGTGTCAAAAACGTAACAGCGTTACGTTTGGACAAGCCGATATACGCTTTCGAAATTCAGCATTTTTGGCATTATACGATTTGGCAGAGTTCTAATTTTCACAGCACGGATAGAGGACATTTTGATGCACCTTTAGATATGAACATAAAAACAACAAAGAAAAAATTTGGTTCGGGAAAGGAGGGGCGTCCCCTTAAAGAGACCGGAAAACGTTACTCTGATGCTTACCTGACTGCTGAGTTGTGACCATAGTTGTTGTTGTTGTTGTTGTTGTTGTTGATGTTGACGGTAATATCGCGGTACTGATGACAGTCGTAGTTTCTGACTTTTTTGGGGCCAGAATGACAAATTTTAGGAGCAGAGAGAGCGTCACTGCCAAAATTGCCACAACGATAAAAGATACACAGATGATCTTAACCGATCGATGATGCCACCATTTGTGTGGTCGATTATTTTCCATGGCAAACTTACTGTAACCTTGGTTTTCATCCATACTAAATTGTTTCAAAAGGTAAAATAGAAAAGAATGAGTTATTATTCGAAACTACTTTATATTTGTATATTATATATATACGAAGAACAAAAGATAAGTAATATTATCTCCAACGCAAAAAGGTATGGCTATAGTCTTGCATTTATCTAAAGCAAATATTATACGTGAGCACGATAGAAGGTGTGGGTTTGAGTGTGGGTGTGGGTGGGGTGGGTGTGGGTGGGGTGGGTGTGGGTGTGGGTGTGGGTGTGGGTGTGGGTGTGATCGATGAAGGAGATAATGCCCACACCCACTCCCACACCCTTCTCTGAAGGGAACTCCAAATGTCGTTAGGAGGGTGGTGGTTGAGCTCCATCTTCCTCCCCTAGTTTCGCCACTGCTTAGGGTGAGGGTGTGGGTGTGGGTGTGGGTGGGGTGTGTGGGTGTGGGTGTGGGTGTGGGTGTGGGTGTCGGTGTGGGTGTGGGTGTGGGTGTGGGTGTGGGTGAGTGTGGGTGTG